TCTGTCCGAGGTTGTCCGGTCTGTCCGAGGGTGTCCGGTCTGTCCGGTCTGTCCGGTCTGTCCAGTCTGTCCGGGCTGTTATCCCCCCGCGCTCAGCTCCCGTGGGTGATGGGCGCTGTGCTCTGTGCCCGCCGGGGAGAGGGTTCCCCTTGGGAGTCGCTAACTGTGTCTGTGCTGGAGCATCCCCCATCCTCCCAGAGCTCCTCCCGGAGCTCACAGCCCCTCTGACCCTGCTGGGGTCACTCTGCCGCGTGTCCTTGAGCTCCTGGGGCAGCACTGCGAGCTGTGCTGCAGCTCAGCCTCTCTCCACCTCATCCCGAACTGTTGTGGTTGGGCCCAATAACCAAAGGTGCCAAAAAGCTCAGATTTTTGGGAGCATAGTCACAGAACTACTATAGAGACTTCTGTAATACCACTATAATGTACATACAGAACCACTATGTTGTGTACCGACCAGTTGCCTCGCTATGTTCTATACTAACCAGTTCTCTCACCTCTTGCAGCTACCAACGTTTGGTGAGCAGATGTTTGCACACCTCAGTGAGGTCTCTGAAGAAAACTGGGACCGAGCACAGGTGGTTGGAGAGGCACTCCAAGGATCCCTTTGTCAAGGCCTCCAAGCAGCAGCATTACCGCTGCAGAAGTGCCTTCAAATTGCTGGAGATTGATGATAAGCTTCATATTCTTCGCCCAGGACTTTCTGTTCTGGATTGTGGAGCAGCTCCTGGTGCTTGGAGTCAGGTTGCTGTAGAGAGGGTTAATGCCTTAGGTGCTGGTAAGTGCCTGTTTTTGGCTGGTGAGATGGGGATGATACTTCTCTTGGAGTGTGTGAAAACTCAACTGATGTGAACATGAAGGCGTGTGCACAAATAATAAGTCTTCATGCAGGCAGGGGAAATATTTATGAAGTAAAAACATGCCATGTAGTGTTAGTGTTCCAATAGCTGTTGTGGGGGAGATCATCCAGTTCTGAAATTGCTGTAGCCTCCAGCAGTTAACTTATGTGAATGTTTATTTCCTGGCTTGAAAAATGGGAGTTAACCTCTGCATACTGTTTATGTGGTTTAAGCCATCAATATTTACAAGATAAGGTGTTACCACCTGTACAATTGTCCAGGATTTCTTCACTGTCAGCCTTGACAGAGCAGCAGAAAAAACCCAAGAAAAATACCCTTTGCTTATCCAAAGTAGCTGAATTTCCATGTTGTGGATGAATGAGCTTATGGCAAACCAGAATCACTGAATCAGTTAGGTTGGAAGGGACCACACTGGGTCATCTGGTCCTACCTCCCTGCTCAAGGCAGCAGGTTGGACTTGCTCAATCCAGAGGCAAACTGCCAGGGAACAGGAAGGCAGCTGAGGCAGGGGATGGGGTTAATTGCCTGGCACAGAGCTCACACATGTGCAGGTTGTTTGCAGCCACTGAGTGTTCCCTGTGTCATTCATCCTTACAGATCCTGCTCTCCCCACCGGATTTGTCCTCGGTGTTGACCTGCTGCGGATTTCTCCCCTGGAAGGAGCAGTTTTCCTGTCAGAGACTGACATTGCAGACCCAAACACGCTGAGGACTATTCAGACCCTGCTCCCTGCAGAGAGGGTGGATGTCATCCTGAGTGACATGGCACCGAACGCGACAGGCATTAAGGACCTGGATCACCAGAAGCTGATCAGCCTGTGTTTGGGCCTTCTCAACCTGTCCCAGAGTATTTTAAAGCCCAAAGGAACGATGCTGTGTAAATTCTGGGATGGATCTGAGGCTCGTGTGCTGCAGCACAGGCTGAAGGAGCAGTTCCAAGACGTGAGGACTATAAAGCCTCAGGCCAGCCGCAAGGACTCTGCGGAATCTTACTACTTGGCAAGGCTCTACAAAGGGAAATGAGGGCTCAGAGCTGCAGGACCTCAGGCATTGGTTGGAAATCTGAATTTGGGGGGGGAGGTTAAAGAAAAATCCCACCATGAAGACCCTGGGAAAACCTGCCACAATTCTCAGGAAGTACATCATGCTTTTCAAACACAGAAGTAAACCAGGGTGGTGTCCTGCTGAGCTTACCCACTAACCATCCAGGCAGAGACATCCAATCTGCCTTTTTACCCATGGAGAAAACAGTTAGGAGTGGAGAGAAATAATCTGAAAGGCACCTCTGGGGCTGGAGTAATGGAACTGAGAATAAAGTGGTGATTATATGAGTTTTTTAGTGTAATCATTGCACTGTTTATGTTGTCATACATGAGACTGACCTTAAAGGGGGTTGTTGGAAGGTGAGGGATGCAAGGGGAGTTTGAGCCAATTTAAGTGCCTCTTAGGAGCTGCTGCAATTTATTAGCACATGTGAAAATAGTTCTTATTTCTGTGCACATCAGGATTTGCATCCTTGGATGGGATCTGGAATGGAGACAGGGCTGGCACAGGAATGTTCAGCCTGGTGGCTCTGCTGCCTTTCCTGAAGGCACAGGTTATATTTAGAAATGCCAATTCTGGGCACTCATAAATCCAGTCCATGGCAGTGGGACAGGGTCACTGCTGCACAGATCATCTCCCCAGAGCCTTCAGTCATCTTTTATGTGTGACCAGTGGTAAAGTGACAAGATGTTCCTTAGATCCCAGGCAAGGAGAATGACTGATGGAATTGCTGGAAATCTGTTTGCACAAATAAATGTAGCCACTGCCTTATCTGGAAGTGACAACTTTTATAGTCAGTAGTGCTTTTATCAGGCTGACTGTGGCATGAGTGACATGAGGGGCTGGTAGCACTGTCTGGTTTTAAGGCTTCCAGGCTTTCTCCCTACAAACAGCTCATTTGGGACTGCTTAATAGATTTGAACTGCTACAGAACCTCTGGATCTGGATCTCCATACTGAGCAGTGTGTGTGGCAGTGTTAGCTCAACAGCCTGATCTGGGGAGTTAAAAATAATGAAGTCACTCATGTTGAAGAACATTATTACCTGGGATTCACAGTGGGAATGGGAGTGAGCAGTGTGCTGGTGGAGTGTATGTCTCCTTCAAGGAGGACATTGAGGTGCTGGAGTGTGTCCAGAGAAGGGAACAGAGCTGGGGAAGGGCCTGGAATACAAGTCCTGTGAGGAGCAGCTGAGAGAGCTGAGGTGTTCAGCCTGAAGAAGAGGAGGCTCAGAAGGATCTTATTGCTGTCTACAACTACCTAAGCAGGAGGTTGTAGTCAGGTGAGGGTCAGTCTCTGCTCCCAGATAACAAGTGACAGGACAAGAGGACAGAACCTCAAGCTGTGCCAGGGGAGGTTCAGGTTGGACATTAGGAAGAATTTCTTCCCAGAAAGGCTGATTAGACACTGGAATGTGCTGCCCAGGGAGTTGGTGGAGTCACCATCCCTGGAGGGGACGTGGCACTTAGTGCGACGGTCTGGTTGACACGGTGGTGTTGGGTCATAGGTTGGACTTGATGATCTCGGAAGTCTTTTCCGACCTCAGTAATTCTGTGATTCCTCTGCGGAGGCGCAGGAGAGCTGTGCCCGAGCGGGACGTGCAGCTGAGCCCGCGGGGACAGGCACAGCTCGATTAGCGCTCGCGCCTAGGCGAGGCATTACGGTACGGCGGAGGGTTGCGCGCCTAGTCCCATCATTACTGCGGGCAGGGCTGCGGTTCTCGCGAGAGTAGCGCTGAGATCTCGTGGCTGGGGCAAGGAGGGAGATCCAAGCGGCGCCGCGGTGAGTGCGGCGGGAGAGAGGGGAGAGCGTC